CCTGAGAGCCCACCACCTGTGCGCCTGCCCACCCTACATCCCCAGGCCACTCGCCATGGGCGGCTGCTTCTCCAAGCCTAAGCCAGGTGCCTGCTCCCTCCCCTCCCTCCTTCCCTTCCCCCTGCCCCTGCCTTGCACTTGGTGGGACTTGAAGTAGGTCAAGCCAGACTGGAGCAGCTCGGAATGTTAATGCGCCCGAGATGGGAGCCAGCAGGGAGGGGCTTGGAGCTGTTCACTTTGCTCCCTTCAAGTGGGCCCCCCTCTTTTGTTTGGTGCTTTGGGTGCTGAGGAGGTAGCGGCTGGAACCTTCTTGGAAAGGGGAGACGAGGGTGCCTTCTGCCCAGGGGTGGGGATGGGGGCCATGTCCCCCCACCCCCCAGGGCTGGAGAGCATCCCTCAGTGGCTGTGTGACCCAGGGCACTCAAGTTACCTATCTGTGTCTCAGTTTCCCTGTCTTTAAATTGGCTCCCAGGATTCTGCCTTTTTGACTTCCTGTGTGACCTTGAGCCTCCAGCTTGGCCTCTTTGGGCAGATTTCCTCATGTGCACTGGAAACCCTTCCCTTGGCCTGACCCTGCTGGCTCTGGCCAGGGGTGGGGTTGTATGTCCTGAGAACCGGACCCACTCCTTACTAGAGACCCGTCTCTATTGGGCACTTCCTGTGGACCCCACTTTCCTTCCTCGTGACAAGCAGAGAGGCAAGGGTGCCCAGCACCCCTCCAGGGCCCCGCTTGGTCTGCCCCGCCCAGCCAGCTCACCCCAGCTCCCCTTACCTGATACACATCCGGCTCCATTACCTTGGAACCTGTCAGCTGTCTCTTTCTTTCCCTGAGTCTGAGTGGGAACCCAGTGAAGCAGGGGGGAGCCCATGCCTGTCCATCCTCCCTGACTCCTGAGCCGTGGGCTGCTTGGCCTCAATCCTGCTGCCCTCTTGTCTCTGGGGGTGACTGGGGCTCAGGCCACTCATTGTTCTGACCCTAGCCTTCCCCCTGAGACAGTGCCAGGAGGAAGCCAGCTGGCACTGATCAGGTGCCTGCAGGACTCATGGGCTGGCGTGAAACTCGGAGCAAGTGCCACCTGCATTGTCTTTTAAAGGACCTCACAGGCTGGCTTTCTTGGAGACACCCCCCCACTGCTGTCAAGTCCATTTCCACCCATGGTGATCCTAAAGGGCTGGGGGAATGGCTCCCCAGGGTTTCAGAAACTGTCAGTCTTTTCAGAAGCAACCTCATCATTCTCCTTTGGAACGACTGGTAGGTATGAACTGCTGATTTTATGGTTAACAGCCCAGCGCTTTGCCCACGATACCACCAAGCCTGGCTACGTTCACCACTCCATAGGTGGTGTAAGAACTCAGGTGCTTGAGTCCAAACCCAGGGCTGCCCCTTCTTAGCCGGCTGGCCTCCCCCAAACCAAACTCCTTGCCATCGAGTCAATTCGAATTCATAGTGACCCTCTACAGCAGGGTAGAACTGACCCCTGTGAATTTCTGAGCCTGTAACTCATTAGAAGAGTCCTGGTGGCATCATGGTGATATGTTGGGTTGCGAACCACAAGGTCAGCAGTTTGAAACCACCAGCTGCTCCATGGGAGAAAGACAGGGCTTTCTACTCCCATTAAGGGTCACAGTCTCAGAAACTCACAAGGGCAGTTCTGCCCTGTCCTATGCAATCGATATGAGTCAGCATCAACTCAATGGCAGTGAGG